AAGTTTCTTAGGATCACCACTAGAGGGTGACCACAGAAAACAAAAGGATTTTATTGCTACTGCTTATTGGTAACTGTAACAGTGGGTATATAATGTAGGATGAAATGAATGACCATATTTTAGATTACATAATGATTTTTTTTCCCAAATTGCAAATATTTGAACTTTTCAGATTTTGGCATTATGAAGGAGACAGTAGTATTATATTTTCCCTGCCCTTCAAACAGAAGATTATGATAGCACTTACCGTGTGCCAGCCTCTGCAGAGGCTTTACATGCATCATCTCACTTAATCCTTTCAACAGCTTTTTGAGGCAGGTGTTAATATCCTCATTTTATAGGTGAAGAATATGAGCTTACAGAGATGAATTTAATTATCCAAGAACATGTAGCTGATTACTGAAGCAGCTGTAACTTGAGCAAGGTCTAGGTGACTTTAGAATCATAACTGTTAAATCACTTTATATCACTTTTACTCTATTATGGTCTGTTTGTGAAGCAAAACCAAAACACACGGGCAGTGAATGTATCAATACCTCCTTCCTCTTGCTATCTCATTGCTTAGGGCTGTCTTTGACTATTCTCTCACCAATTTTCAACTTTCAACTAGTTTTAAAATTTTATTTATTTTACCAATCTTTCCAACCCATTCAATTCTGTTCCCACTGTTGCTGAACCAATTAGGTACTCACCACATTTACCTAGACTATTATAATATTCTTCTAATTTTTTTCTTTGATTTCAGTCTTATCCCTGATTTAATTTTTATGCATTTACAAATTATCATTCATTCTGAAAGCATAGGTCTAAATGGCTCTCTTCCCATTTGCCAACTTCAGTTTTTGTCTATTAACATAGAATACAATCTACACACTTTGGCTTGGCATTCAGACCCGTATTCTGTGTGTCCTGAGTCTGTCTGACTTTATCTCCTGCTAATTAAAATCCCTCAGGCTGCCTTGTTCTTTATCTATTCTCCTTTCCTAAAATATGCTGTCCACTTTCTTCTTCCATTTTTTTGAAGCATTTTCTTTCATTGGGATGCCCCATCCTGCTTCTTTATCTTAACCATCTTTCTTCCAGAGCTGCCCCCAATGTCATGATTGGAATTATTTTGTTTGCTCTGTACTTCCTTGTTCTATGTTCTTATTTATTGTACTTACTATCCTCTGCTTAGTGCTGAGTTACTATGTGTATTTCTATCTTTCTCTTAAAATCGTGGGCATTCATATTCATCTGTTCATGCTCCACATGCTCTGACTATACAAGGCATTCAATAACTGTTAATGTTCCTTTGACAGTGAGGACACTGTTAAATATCACAAGATGTTGTATGATCAGTTGTGGAATGAATTCTGTGGAGAAACTGTGTTAGGAATTCAAACAGCAATTGCTTCACATTAGAAGGGTCAAAAAGATCTTATTGAGGAAATGTAGAATTTATTGAGAAAATATGAAATCATAAAGTTTAGGATAAACTGAGACTTGAAGTCTTCAGGAAAAAAATATTTTTTAAATATTTTGAGTTGTTTCATTTTTATTGAGTAGGCGTAGTATATTCAATAATGTTAAGCCTATACAAGGAAGAGAAAATTTACTTCTATTTTCTTCAATTCTTGCATAAATCTTGAGGGTTCCCCTGAAAATTTAAAACAGCAACTCTTCCAACCAGATATTTGGTGTCAGGTGACATTTTAAAAAAGAAAAGAATGCTTTTATTCTTCAACAAAGTAGTGCTTCAGTTAAAGCTACATGACTTCTTGATTCCTACTTCCTTAAGGCATTTTAGGTAGTTGTGACTATGGATTGCCAGATAGTGTGTGATTTTAATTGGACACTGAAGAGTATCAGAAGATGACACAACTTACATTATCAGCTGTAATTGCAAATTGTGATGTTTTGAGTTCTTTTTTTCATACCTAATTTCTTTTTCTTACGGTTGATTTTTTACCGCCTGTACTAACCAGTGATATCAGAAGATAGAAGGAACCATTTTTAGTGTACTTGGAATTAAAAACAGCAACCAATATTTTTGTCCTTCATATTGTAGAAAACCAGTTGGGTGTGGTGACGTACATCTGTAATCTCAGCAACTTAGGAGGCTGAGGCAGGAAGATTGCTTGAAGCCAGGAATTTGAGATCAACCTGAGCAATGTAGCAAGACACTGTCTCTGAAAAATTAGGCTGGGCATGGTGGCTCATGCCTGTAATCCCAGCACTTTGGGAGGCCGAGTTGGGCAGATCGCTTGAGGCTAGGAGTTTGAGACCAGCCTGGCCAACAGGGTGAAACCCTGTATCTACTAAAAATACAAAAATTAGCCAGATGTGGTAGTGTGTACCTGTAGTCCTAGCTACTCGGGAGGCTGATTCATGAGAATTGCTTAAACCCGGGAGGCAGAAGATTTAGTGAGCCAAGATCATGCCACTGCACTTTAGTCTAGGTGACAGAGCAAGACTCTGTATTAAAAAAAAAAAAAAATTAGCTGGGTGTGGTGTCACGAACTTTGGGTCTCAGCTACTTGGGAGGCTGAGGCGAGAAGATCACTCAAGCCCAGAAGTTTGAGACTGCAGTGAGCTATGATCATGCCACTGCATTACAGCCTGAGCAACAAAACAAGACCCTGTCTCTTAAAAAAAAGAAAGAAAGAGGGCCAGGCGCGGTGGCTCACGCCTGTAATCCCAGCACTTTGGGAGGCCGAGGCGGGTGGATCACGAGGTCAAGAGATCAAGACCATCCTGGTTAACATGGTGAAACCCCGTCTCTACTAAAAATAAATAATAAAAAAAAATTAGCTGGACACGGTGGCACATGCCTGTAATCCCAGTTACTCAGGAAGCTAAGGCAGGAGAATTGTCTGAACCCAGGAGGCAGAGGTTGCGGTGAGCCGAGATTGCGCCATTGCACTCCAGCCTGGGTAACAAGAGGGAAACTCTGTCTCAAAAAAAACAGGAAAGAAAGAAAGCAAAGAAAACCAGATATAGCATATTATTATTTCTGGAACCTGATGAAGTATCTGGATGCCCTATAGTTTGAAGACTGTCCTTTGAAGTCTATATTTCAAAGGTGCAGATCAATATAGATTCTAGATTTCAAAACTGATCTTGATGTTTCCTCATAGTGTGATAGTAACTGAAATAAACACATTAAGAGAAAAACAGTTATAACGCCATTTGTTGTTGTCTTTTAGAATTGTGGAAGATATAAATTTTTGCTGTAGGACCCTGAGTAAATAGAAATTACACCATGTTTTAATATAGTAATTTTGTTTTTTAAGAAGTCTTAACTAAGAACAATGCTGTTTTTCTATTCTAATAGTTAATATTTATAGGCATGTTTCCCCCTAGACTTTAGCCATATTTATCATCTCTTAGTATATAGGTAAAATTTCAGATTTAAAGCAAGAGCAGAAATTATTTCTGCTGATAAAGGTGAAAACCGAATTTCTTTAGAGTAGCATAATCAGCATGTTACTTAGGTACTTTCTGTAAAGATGCTGCATTTTTAGCTAAGTTTTTAGAGCTCCCTGACAGGCGCGAAAATAAATTAGTCAGCAGTATTCTCTGCAGAGCTGGCAAAACAATCAATAGGTATTTTGGAAGTACAGGTAGCATTAATATAATTCTAAAGTTACTTTATATGGTATTATTTACAAATTTTTCTTTAATAGAAATTGAATGTAAAAAGTAAAAGTAAAATATGAGTGAATCACCTGATGTGATATATATTTGTTATGTTTTTAGGCTGGTACTAAGATAATTTCACAGGCATTTCTTATTTACTTACTAAGTCCCACAAAGACACATATTAAAAATCTTACTGAATATGTGATCAACTCATAGTTTTCCCTCTAGAATGTTATGATGCCTTTTTTACTTTTTAAATTCTGAAATATAGTCTGTAAACAAGACTATGTTGACTATTTGAAGATTTGATAAGCTGCACTGTATTTTGGTGTTTAATGCTTTCCTTACAACTGTGAACATGCTGAGTGCTATCTACAAGATATAGGTCAGTCTATTGAGTAATAGGATACTTAGAGTGTGCCCATTTTCTCTAATGTATACTCATGCATCTACTCTCAAACACTATATGTCTTGTAATACATAAATGTTTTTACTGTGACTGAGAGGTAATGAATAGCAAGAAGAAGATCTTGAATGAAGTTATAAGATACATATTTATATGTATCTCCTTTTGCCCACAGTCTTTTAGAGAATGATTTTCATTTTGAAACGGAGTGGTCAGGAGTTGAGAATGTGTGAACATCTAGGTTTTTAAACGACTCTTGTCTTCAGTAATCTTTATTAATTGCTGAAATGTTTGTCTCTATTAAATAATATTAAATTATCTATGGCCTTATTGAAATCATTAAGAAAATTACACTGATGTTATTTTCCTTTCCTTCAGTTTATCCCCACTGAAGGAGAATATTATGTATATATATATTTTTTTTTAATAAGGGACAAAGAAGACAGTGAGGAGAGTCAAAGTATTTATCACTAGCAGAGTTTTTATTTTACAGCTGAGAAAACAAATATGGAAAGGTGAAATATTTCATAAGTAAAAAGCAGTGATGCTTAGCATTTTCTTTCTTTTTTGAGGACTAAATACCTTTGGTTCAGGGTCAGAAGAACTAGATACTGTTTTAAGCCTCTCCACAAGATTTTCTATAGTATCATCTTTTTTACCTTACCTGCTAACATTTGGGTAAATAATGGTAAAATTAAAGGCCAATTCTATGGAAGATAGTGACTAAACATTTCTACAGTGTTATCTTATATAATAATGTTATAGTTTTCTTTAATCCAAAATATGCACACATCCATGTAAACCACACTGTACAATCCCATTCTGTTTTCAGGTGGCTTTTAGGTGACCTTTCCAGATGCTTGCTTTCTTTGAAGGAAGTTTTTTGTTGTTGTGTTATTATAAAGCATAGCCTACATTTTATTACCAGTTCATTTATTTTCTGAAGGATAAGAAATTTAATACCAAGAGATTATAAGTAAAATTTTTATTTGAAATCCTTAAGTCATCCACACATTTTTCATAATGGTTTTTATAAACATCTTCAACCAGTCTAGCTTTTCCAGGTAGAATTAACAGTAACAAGTTATTTGATTTTAATCACAGTCTGAATAATTTAAATAAGTTGAAATTAGTTGACAAGTAATTGTTATTCACAAATGAAAATGTAGGTTGTCCTGTAGTAATCAATGCATAGCTACAGCTGGTTGAAGGGGACCAAATCCATTGAAGAGGCGATTTGGTTCCATTTTACCAGCTCTAGCAAAGCATTGTAGGGCTACTAGTTTGGGATCCAAAACAGTTAAATGCTTTTCATTGGTAAAATTACAATCATGGACCTTCTACAAGTGTTAGAAATTACATACCACTGCTTTAGTCACTAAATACCAAATTTTCCATTCTGAAGTCTCTTTCCTAGTCTTTCCTACACTTAATGGTTTAAAAGTCTTTTCCTTTTAACACATTACTGCATTAAGGAATGATCAATGTACATCTTTATTTTTAACATCTTTGCTTGATTCTTTTTCTTTTTCTAATCTTGTCCACAGCTGAAATCTTACGATAATTCTTAAATGTAGACAATAAGCTGTTTCAAAACCAATAGTATTTAAAGGAACAAATAGACCTTGATGTATTTTAGAGTAGTGTTTTCCATTTATCACTAGGCAGTAAGCTAGATTACTTAAGTAAATCTAATAGGTTGGGGAAGAGTTCTGTTAGTCACTCCCTTCTTAGCATTATAGTTGAGGACTAATAACAAATTGTTGACAGTAGGTGGATCAGTGGCCTTAAGCAAGTACCTCTGCCCTTTGATTTATAAATAGATCACATGTGTATTCAGTGTATTGCTTGGACTTGTGTTGAAAGGAACTACCATGCATGCCAGTTTTTCTTTGTTTTTGCTTACGTAGTGTTACTAATCATAGGTTAGTAATTTAACCCTTTTAAAGATCTATTTCCTTGACTAAGTTCTTTGTCATTTTGGGTACAGATTGCCTAGTTACTTCTCATTATCGACTTAGTAATACATTGACTTATGGTGGTTAGCTGCAATCCATGAATACAAGTATTAAAATCTATTGTGTGAATAATACTTGAAAAATCAGAGTAAATGTTTGTTATAATGTGGTTTTACTGTTAATTTCAATATCCTGGGAGGTGTGCTTTTTGAAAAATACTTGCATAAAATAAAAGTTTGATAAATTATAATTTGCCTATAAAGTTAAGTGCTCTCAGAAAAATAGAGTAGAGAAGTATTCCTTACAGTTACTGTTTTAAACTAAACTGGGAAGTCAACACTAATTCAGGCAATATGCAAATGATTCTTATATTAAGTATATTTTGCATCTGTTGGTTAAGTGTCATGCTGCTGGTGAAATTAATGTAACTACAATTCTTTTTCATCATTTATTCTAGTAGAAGTGAAACAGGTGTTAAACTGCTTGAACTTAAGTGCTGAAGATAGCAATAACACTGGCTTCTATTTTTACTAGTTATATGGGAGCTGTTTAGCAGATCCAGTTGCTCAAGTGTGCTTTTGGATGGCAGTTCAGTTGCATATACTGGCCATATCGGGGCAAGGAGAGGCCATGGGAAAAAAATAGTACAACATTTGATAATGTCAGCATCTGTTATCCCTGTCAGGGAGACAGTTGAATTTGAGTTATACCAGTGTCAGCAGATGCCCAGAGTTTAATATGTACTCAGTTAAAAATGAACAGCTGATCTAAGTGATAGATGTGACATTTTTGAGTGATTGAAAATACTCTTAGATATGTTAAGTTAAATTTGTAAGCACCAGAATCAGTATATAATTTTACTTTTGAAAATGAAAGCCTGTCATTTTATTTTCTAAGGATTATTTATATAGTCTTAATATTATAGCAAAGAGATTCTTAGTTGCTGGGATGGTTAAGAAGGATTATTAAACAACTTGTATACCTATAGAAGACCAATATAATTAATTGTTCATTATAAAACACAAGTAGAGTAATACCCTTTGAGTAGTTTTATGGAAGAACCTCTACTTTTGAGGTATATAATTTGAGTTCTTGGTATTTAGGACCCGTACAGGTAAACTTCCTAAATTGAATATGAATCATGGCCATTCCATTTTGTGGATGATCAGAAGAGCTATGTTTATGTGAATTAAGCTTTGAACTAATTTCTTTGAAAATACAGAACTTTAAAATTAGGTGTCTTTTATAATTTCCAGTAAACATGCAGTAACATATATGATGCCGTGTATAACAGTCATTATCATTCTTTATAATCTGCTGATAAAATGAAAATCATCTTTCTGTTAACTAGTTGTCTTATTAAACAGAGAGAAAATGAACTATAGTTAAATGTATAGTCATTTCTATTCAATTTCTGATACAAAAAATTTAAAATATGCTTTTTATACATGTGCAAATATTTCAGTTGAAATAATATGTTTAGTAAGAAATGGTTAGAATACATGAGTACTACTATTTCTTTTTTTTTTTTTAACTGTCAGTAGCTTAAAACAAGTACTGCTTATAAATTTTGCCAACAGCATTATTAGGAATTTTAAAATAAATAATATACAAACTGTGTGAAATTAAGTATTTTGATGTTTCTAACATAAACAATGGATTGATCATGTTTAGAGAAACTGAATTGTAATTACATAGTACCAATAAAAACAGTTATTCTATCTATATAAATTGGTTCTTGACTATAGTGCCTTCATTTTACATGCCCCCTTTGGAGAAGCAAATTCAAAGATAATACAGATAATAAATTAATTTCTTTTAAATATTTGGTAGTCTGTTACCAATATACTGTGACCCAGAATTTTATCATTTTTCATGCTTAAATCTTACATTTTAATTAATTTTAAGTTTAACTTCACATTTAAAGTAGAGATTGGGTTAAGACCCTGATGAACTTGAGAAGGACAAGGGCCACTTTTTTTTTTTTTTTTTTTACAGTAGAGTCTTACTTAAAAGATAGTCTTTAAGAATTATAATTATGATTATAGCTGTCAAAAAGGAAAACCTTTTTAAAACAACAAAACTTTTCAGTTCAGAAATTCCTCTAATATTAATAGATTATACATGTATCAAAATGTGAAGAAATAGCTTATTATGTGAATGAAGCCAGCTCTTACTCTCTTATTTTTCTATACAAATAAGTGAGCCCCACTGAGATCAAATTGTAGAGACAGAAAATAGGTCATGTGTATTCCTCATTCTTTTGTGCTAGTAATACTTTTGTCCCTTTTGTAGTCAAATTTTAATAATGAGAGTACTTAATTTAAAAATGTAAGATATATGTTTTAAACTTAGATAATTTAAAAGGAATTTCATGATAATTGAAATCTGCTTCACTGGAACTTCTTTTTCTTCATGAAATAAAAACCTTAGGGATATTTAGTTTAGTTTCTATCTATAAGTAGCAGATAGCCTTTTTTTTTTTTGGTGTTGATATTGCCAAAGGCCATCTGTTCATGACTAGTTAATTTACCTTATGAAGGTCATTTATGTGGAAAGAAGCAAGAGCTTCTGTTAGCTGCAGTTTAATTCTCTCTTGGTGGTTTATTGCCTACCAAAAATACATACTTCTTTACATTCCATAGCATTGTATGTTCATATGGGTACATAAAGAAGTATGTACTCTGAGTAGGTATTACTAAGTTGTTAGCTGTAAAAACATGAAATATTTTATTTTCTTATTTGTTAGTGAAACATTCAGCTTACTAATGTAGAGCAATGGTAAATCATTTGCAGAGACTAATTTATTGAAGACTAAATTTTGTAACAAATTTACCTGAAGCATGGCATTAATGGTTCCATATTCTTGGTGGACATAGACATTCCTAAACATTTGACCAGTTATCTCTTGAACTTTGTCCTGGTTTGATTCTTTTTGCAACAGATTCATAGAATTAGTGAAGTGTTACAGAGTGTATTTCAGAAACAAAATCAGCCTAGTGTTTCTTCAGTCTTCAGAGTGAATTTCTTCTCTTTTTTTGTAGTCTGCTTCTAGATCCTACAGGTAGATAGTAATTAATTAAGTTCAAATTCTTTTTTACAAACTAGGCATGTTACTCAAAACTTAATGAATTAACCAATAAATACTTCTGATATTGACTCCAAAGTTGAAACAAGGAGAAAAACCGGGATGAGTGTGAGTGAATTAAACATTTAAAGATTATGAATTTTTGTTAGTGTTTCATAAGGTCACAGATAAGAACTCATGATCATTTGAAAATCTGTGATTCTTTTTTCTTTATTAGTTCCTTACCTGAAATTTGCACTTTGGTGCTTCTCTTTGGGTTAAGTACAAATACGGTTTGAATACAAATTCAAGTAGATGTAGAAATATCTATTGGTGAGTTTAAGTTGTTTTGATTCTTTAATCTTTTTAGTATACAGGATAATTGTCAGAATCATCAACTTTTAGAAAGTATCACTTCAAAGAACTAAAAGGTTTTAGTCCATGAGCACCTGGGTTTTACCTTGATCATTTACGTGAAAAGAAAATATAGTTGGTAAGAAGGCTTCAGTTATTATGGTATTAGAAGGTTAATTTAAAAGAAAACCTCAAGAAATTTTCAATTTGGCAAAGGAGAAAACAAAGGGCAGGGATAGTAGAATTTCTGCAGCTTATGACAAAAAGCTAGTGCAGCTTATAGAGAGCAAATCAGAATGTAGCAGTAGATAGCCCAGCATTACAGCAGTTTCAGCAATGCAGCATTAGAATTACACCATGCACATTCTGATTTATTTTTGTGGCCAATTAATAGTAAGCATTAAAAAGTATTTTATGATCTGCCAAGTTTCTTGGGTGACTAAACCTTGAAATAGAAGCCAATAGTTTTAAGAAATAAGTATACTTTGGAAGCAGGATGTGACTTACTAGAGATGCAAAATCATCACTCAATCTGAAACGACTAAATCTTTAATAATGTAAATGACAATAATGAATTTGTACATTTTTAGATCAAAAGTTACTGCCATGATATTTGAACGATACTCATTTTTAAACTACATTAGCTCTCAACTTGAATTGTGAAATTAGGCTATGCTTAGATAGAATTTAACTTAACAATGAGAACATATATTGAGTCAATAATAGATAAGCATGCAGAAAGTCATAAGCATCCTTAAAAGTACAGGCCTTGTGGGGCTCTGTTACCTGAAAGCTTAGTGTCATGCAGCATTTGCAGCAGGAAGAAAGGTAATGACCTAGAGAGTCACATCAGCAGCAGCCATCTCATCTTGATTGTTCGTTCACTCTATTCGCTGATTCAGCAATTTCTTTTCATGAGCCGGGTGAAGGAAGGGGATGTGTCAGTGAACACAGAGCCTCACCTTTTAAGATAAATTTGAAAAACAAACGAGCAAACAAAAAACAAGCCTACTTTTTCCTCTCCTCCCCTTTTCCCATTAAAAAAAAAAAAAAAAACACCAAGAAAAAAACTCTGCAATTAAATTGAATCAGCGTTGGCCTTTTGATTTGGAATGTCATATAACACTCTTGCACAGATATGTAGGGAAAGTTAAGCAATTTAAAAAGGCTGCTACAAAGGCGAAGAAAATGAACCTAGTTGTCAGATGAAATGCTTCAGAAGAGGGGACAAAGTTGCAGAAGTTAATTTTATATCTAAAAAAAGACCAAAGAAAAAAAAAAACCAACAAAAACCCCAGAACCCAAACACACCTTACTCCCCCTCCCCCAAGTAACTGTAAACATTCACCCTGTTTTTCTTTGCCCACCAGAATACATTGGGTTCTTCTGACTTCTTAGGAAATAGTCTGCATCTTTCTTGCTTTGAGATTTTTTTTTTTTTTTTTTTTGGTTTTTAGTTTCCAGGATTAAATGGTAGATCTGTAGTGAAGCTACCTTGTCACATCCAGAGGTCAAGTCTGCAATCGAGGTCAGGACTTCCACATGGTCACTACGAGGCTAACATATTCTTCCTCAGTGACCACAGGCTAAACTGTTACAGCTTTATAGGCAGCTAAGCATTTGAAACATGCACTCCCAGGCAAACAGGCTCTCTTGTGCCTCTCTCTTCCCTGACCATATTTAGTCAACCATAGCAAAAAATAGTCTCTCAGCTGTCGATTGTCGATCCAAAAGCTGAGGAAACCTCAATCTTGCTTTCTGCCTATTGATTGTTCATCCTGCGGTCCAAACACTGCTTTGCCATTTGTCCTGCCCCCTACTTTTTTTTTTTTTTTTTGGGTTAAGCACTGCCAAATAAAGCGGTCTCTCATGTTTCCACTTACATTTCCCAGATTTTCACTGAGCTTGCGCTGAGACTAGGAAAGCCTGATGCACTGTCACTATACTTAGAAGCACTGCAGAGAAAAAAGGAAAGAGGAAAAAAATTGCCCTGGCTAGTAGCAAGATAATCTTTACACAGTTACGGTACAAGCGAAGTCCCTCTACTGCCAAAGTACATTTTATAACCTGATTTTTTGATTGACAAAAAAATGTTATGGATGATGATACTTTATATAGCTAAAGGCCTGAAAGGATTTTGTAGGGTTATCTTTAGAGATAGTTGTTGCCATATACATGCTTTAAAAATTTATTGAATAGTATTTGAATGGAAAATATAGAAATGGTAGGTAGGACCTGTATATTGGTGGTGGAGAGACATCATTAAGGGAGAAGATAGTAGTATGTAAATGAAATCTTGGAAATGCTACTTAAAACAATTCACTGTCAATTTCAGTAAATTTTTTTATAATGCTTTGGTAAAAAACAGGGTCCAGTATGCTTTTGAGTAATTATACAAGTAGAAGTATTCAAATGCGTTTTATTATGAATTCTACTTTATATTCAAATGTGTAGTGTTTTTTCCATCTCTTCTACATTGTCATGTTTCTCTAATTTTCTGAAGTAACTTTTAGGTATGATCATTGCACACTTTACACAGATTGAAATAATCATTAATCTGTCTATAACTGTTACATAGTGTATGACTCAGGAAAAAATTCTTTGTTCTAAATTTTAATAGCATATTCACAACAGATTTTGATATTGAAATTTTAAATCAAAGATAAAAAATAATAAAACATGAAATCCAATAAACCCGTGGAGATATAATTTAAGATCTCACCTAAAATGCCCATGAGAAACCAACTATATCTTGTTTTTAATCCAAATATGTCCCCTTAAGAATCAAGAAAAACCATTATCAGTTTTCTGAACTTATTCACTTATAGAAGTGTGTCCTTCACATTTTTTGTCTGTAGCGTTTAATATCTTAGCAGTTTAATTATTTTGAATGGCTATTTTAAAACATTCAATAAGGAATATTCTTTATTCCTTAACATTAAGGAATGCTTCTTTAGATATTGGGCAGTTTTAAACAGCTTTCCTAAATATTGAAATAATTTTACTTGTATTATAAGAAGATGACATGTCTCAAAGTGTAAAATAAGTTTAGTTTTCTCAAGTACCCCATTTTGTTAATGATTTTGTAGCAGTGAAAGTACTTGTTTTTTAAGCAAACACTTACATAATGTGTTATGTGCCAGGTATTCTAAGCCCTTTATAAATATTAACTCATTTAATTTTCATAACAACCCTATAAAGTGGAATTTTGATTCTTCTCACATTTCACAGATGAAGAAACTGAGGCACAGAAGTTAAGTCATCTGCTGAAGTCACTAGCCATTGTGGTTAGAGCCAGAATTTGAACTCAGATAATTTGGTTACAGACTGGGAGCTCGTCACCACTATGCCACACTGCTCCTCTGATTTGTGATAATGAAATGAGTTGGGGAGTTGTTCTTGGGGACTCAACCATACACAAATATATATTGCTAATATCTTTGCCTTAGTATATTCAGAAAGATAATTGATTATTTGATTATCTGTTTATTCATTGCTTCCATTCAGCAAAACTTTGAGTTTCCCTGTACTAGGCATACAAAGTATACCTTTTTGATCAAAGCATGTTCAAGTTGTATAGTAACCTGCTTTTAGCATGCCCAAAAGAATTACTGGCAGTTAATCAACTTTCTTAATAATTTTTTTTTGAATTCTGGATGAATCCACTTTATTTGAGGGATTGTTCATTAATTTAGCAAGCATTTATTGAACACCTAATATGTGCTACAGTGCTATTTGAATGTTGTTTTGCTTTAAGTAATACTAATATGTAGGCCTTCACAATTTAGCCAGTAGGGTTTGGGAAAATGTTGCCTGCCTCTGAAGAAAGATTGCAAAGCATGGCAGGCCCTAAAAATTGACCCAGTGCCATTCGAATACTACATACCAATGCAGACAGCTGCTTGTCCCCTCTACTTCTTAGAACTCATTTGTTCATCATTCAGCAAACGTTTGAGTACTATCATGTGCCAGGGATTATGCTAGGCACTGCTATTAGTTGTTCCGGAACTTAATGCTTCTTTGGCAGTGTTCACAAATGCCTGCTTAACTGGTAGTAAGATCTTATCTTTAAAACATCCATATACTTAACCTCTTGGAAAACAACCACATTGAGCATTAGGGAAAATATCTCCAAATCTCATATACTTCGCTCCACAGGTGAGACAGTCTATTGGCACCTTTATCCCAGTAACTCTAAGGACTTCAGTGCTTGCAGCTTAACAGTCTCCTCTTAATTAACTAAAGTGCTGCAGGGAACAGTCTCCAGCTGTCTTTGTACTTTTAGTGTGTCTTCCTAAGATTCCCTGACCCATGGAAAGAAAGGAGACGGGCTGCTCTGAACTACTGCTGTGGACATGAGAGTGAGAGGACCAGAGACTGTTTTGCCTAACTTTTCCTTAGCTCACCTTGCAGACTAGGCCCAAAGATGACCTCTTTTTTTGAGGCCTTGTATTATTATTTGTTTCTGTTTTCTTGAGGGTGTTGGCAATTTTTGATCAAGATGAGAGGGCTCTAGGTCTCTGTTCAAATAATTTATGTTACTTCACCCTCAAGGAAGTGAAGTATAACTTCCTGCTCCTTAAATATGGGCTATACATAGTTACTTCCTTCCTAAGAGCATAGTTTAGAGACAGGGAAAAAAGAATGTTTACATTGGAGAAACATAATGAACACTACTTCAGCCAGGTGATCAGGGTTAACTTGTAGAGTTGTATGGCATGTTGATAGTATGTACCCTTGGTGTGATGTCGTTAAATGGCACTTTATCTCTGTGGCCTTCTTCCCAAGAACCCCATAGCACAGTGTAATCATGAGAAAAGCATCAGACAAATTCCAACGGTTATTCTACAAAATAACCCATTAGTACTCTTCAAAACTATCAGACTCATCAAAAACAAGGAAAGTCTGGGAAACTGTCACAAAGGGAGCTAAGGAGAAAAGACAACTAAATGTAATGTGGTATTCTGGAGCAGAGAAAGAACACTGAATGAAACTAAGGAAATCTCAATGAAGTATGGACTTTGGTTAAAAACAGTGCTTCAACATTAGTTTATTAATTGTAACAAATGTACCATACAATGTAAAATGTTAATAATAAGGATGGGGGGGTATATGGGAATTCTGTACTAGCTTTGCAATATGCTATAAATCTAACATTGCTCTAAAATAAAAAGATTATTAAAAAAATTAATCCACCCACTCCTGGCTAGTTGACCCTTGCGTTAGTTTTGATATGGGCTATATGCAGTTTCTCCACAGCTCAGTAAATCAAGTCGATTTAGCTGTAATTGATTTCAAGAAAATATTAGGTGTAGTCTCATGTTCTTTTAAACGTGTATTAAAGGCAGGGAAGTATATTTTACAATAAGTTTTTTATCAAAATTTAAAAAGATTTACTTAAAAAGAATTTGTGAAAATTGAGAAATGGTCAGATTTGTGTTGGGTGGTATAGAGAATAGATGTGGAAGGGAGACTGTTACAAATGTCCTGAGGAAAGAGAATCACAGCCTAGTGAAAGAGTGTTGGGGGCCGCTGGGAAGAACGGTTTTAGTTTGAAAAGGGAGAATCAGCAGGACAAATTGAATGTGGACGTAATAGGGGAAAGGGTCTAGAATGATTCCTTGGTTTCTGAGTAGAATGGCTGATTAAATGGTAACAAAGGTAACCAAGATCAAGAATAAAGGAGGAGTATTGGGAAAGAGGAGAGAGGCAAAGAGGAATTTGTACTATGTTTGAGTATAGGTCTGTCATCTTAGAGTTGTCATAATACTATTATATTGAAGAGTTTGAGACCCTATACTGAAACATTTTTACATACATTATCTCATTTAATTTTTACAACAGCTTTAGTGTGTGTGTGTGTGTTTGTGTGTGTGTTTTGAGAGAGAGTCTCACTCTGTCCCCTAGACTGGAGTGTAGTGGTGCAATCTTGGCTCACTGCTAACTTTTGCCTCCCAGGGTTCAAGAGATTCTCCTGCCTTAGCCTCCCAAGTAGCTGAGATTACAGGCATACACCACCATGCCTGGCTAATCTTTGAATTTTTTGTAGATATGGGTTTCACCATGTTGGCCAGGCTGGTCTTGAACTCCTGGTCTCAAGTGATCCACCCGCCTCAGCTTCCCAAAGTGCCACCTGCCTTGGCTTCCCAAAGTTTCATGTTATGGGATTATAGGCGTGCGCTACCACACCTGACCCTTACAGGTATTTTGGTATTAGGTATGACCCTTATCAGTTTTGGTATTAGGTATGAATCATGATCAGTTGTTTTAGAGATATGAGCTAGAGATGTTATAGTTGAGAATGCATAGTGAGGGCTTCACAGGGTCCAGGTTTGGGCATTAACTTTATAGATCCAGAAGTAATTGGACTTGGGATAACATTATTTAAGCTTGTAAGAGATTGATATGTAAGTCAGAATGTCAAATTACCATTTACAGAAAGAAATATTGCTAAGTATAGTTCTCAAAATAGCTAATCAGTAGATTTTATTTTTCACTTGCTGGGGGAGAAAACAATTCTACTCTGAAAAGTTAAACTAAAATTGGAAATTGACTGGTGAGCAGGACATTTGATTGAATGATCTTAACAGTATCATTAACCTGTGATAATATTCCATGTGATGATATAGCATTCTACTGCAGGGCACAAAAGAATACCACGGTTGCCTGTCAGGAGACTTT